AAAAAAAAATCAGTTTCGTATGCATATGTATTCTTGTAAGCATGTTGTAAATACTTTAACTTTACTTGTATTTTTAACTTTCTGTGTGTATATATGTGAATTATTATTGTCGGAACTAACTATTTTTAACTTGTATGCATCATTGTATGTTCTATATTCAGCCTGAATCTACTAACTATGCATGAATTTGCGCTTAATTTCGTAAAAACTTGAGCTCTACTTGCTGATTTTTCTCAAAATCTGCAGTATTAGTTTTGTTTTCATGCTGTTTTTGTCCTTGGAGTGCTCCTTTGCTTCAAATACGAACTATAACCGATATATCTTGCTTGGGGATATTATTTTGAAGCATGCCATGATGTTTCTATGCTGATTTTGATGTTTTATAAGTATTATCATTTGTGTAGTAGTTTGTTTTTTTTATATTTATTTTCGTGATAATGTGTTTGCATGCTAAATTGGTTTTAAAAAGTACAACATTTCTCCGTGGGATCGACCCTTGCTTGCCCTAGCTATAGTTTTTGTTTGATTATACCTTGGGGGTTAGCAAAGGATATTTTATAAATTTTTAATTTATTTTTGGACCTTACGACGGGTCCTCAACAGAAGGTTTGGGCGCTGATCGTACAAAGCTTCGTGGCCTTCGTGAGCGGGCCAACGGTGGTGGTGACCTTGAACCGTTCAAGGATGTCCATCACCAAGAAGGGATACGGGAAGAGGTGATCGTGGTCGGTGGATGCGGCAATCGTCATGTAGATCATGACAAACTTCGCCCAATTGATCGGCGCCGAGTGCATGAGGTCCTCACCGGACATGATCGTGTGCCCATGCTTCCGGGGCTTGATGATCCGGGACACGATGTAGAGGAGGAGACGCCACTTGGGGGTTGCGGAGTGGATGGTCGGGCGGCCCGTGGGATGGCGGATGAGCTCGGTGATGCGAAGCTCGTCGAGGACAAGGCCCTCGTTATTGAGCACCCAGTCTTCTCCACCATAAGTGGAGATGTCATCGCCTTTGTAGGGAAGGCTGGCGATCCGCCCAAGCTGCTCAACGGTGAGCTCGATCGGCGTGCTCTTGACAAGGGAGTAGAGCACGTTGTCCTCACGCCGGAGGTTGGAGTAGAACACCCGAATCAGCGCCGGGTTGATATCCTTTCGAGCCCGGGAGACTAACGGCCATAGGCCGGTTTGGTGAAGCTGCCCGTCGAGGAAGTTGTAGCCCTGCAACTCCGGGAAGCGCTCCGGGACAATCCACGGGGGAGCCACAACCCGCTTAGAGAAGAAGGTGAGAAATCGGGTGCGCTCCTCCTCGGAGTCGAACCAGAGATACGACCCGTCGCCGTAGTAGAGGCATTCCTCGGAGGTCGTCGAAGGAGCCCGGGATTTGGACTTGGATTTCCCGGAAGTTCCTGCCCTGCTCTTGTCTTTGCCCATGGTGATGAAGAATTCTCAAGAAAAAGTTGTAGAGAAGATGAATTAAGCGAGGGGAATGAAGGGGATTGTGTTTAGATGTGAGAAAAAGGTGAGTAGGAGGCCAAATATATATAGGATTTGGTCTCCAACATTCAAAAATTTGAAAAAAGTGGCTGTTGGAGCATTTAATGCAGTTGCCAGCAGATTTTTTTAAAAAAAATTTAACCTGAACAATGATGTTCCAGAGGCGACATCGCTGTTGAGATAGTGCTGTTATGCCATTGTGCAGCGCTGTTCTGCGTTAAGTTTTTAAAACCAGGTGTCAAAAGGACAGCGATGTTGGGTTCCCTACAGCGATGTTCCAAAACATTCTGGAATTGTGTAAGGGTTTGAACCCATTAGAATAGCGCTGTTAGGTTACCCTACATCGCTGTTTTACGATAAGGAAGAAAATTTGTAAAAATGGACAGCGATGTTGCTGAAATGTACATCGCTGTTGAAAAACTTTCTAGTCTGGTTTGAAAACATGGTGTTTTTAAGATAACAGCGATGTAGAGGTACATTACATCGATGTTTAAAAAGTTTCTGGAAAGCAAAGAGTAAGAGGACTCCCTGTGACAGCAATGTTTGTGTATTTTACAGCGCTGTTGGCCGAAGTTGGTTGACGGTGTTCCCTTCTACAGCGTTGTTTGTTGGGAAAAATATTATAGATTTTGATGATGATGTATTTAGAATGTAATAGGGACTTTAGGTCTCCCCCAATATTCAATGTAATTTTTCTGTTTAGAAATATTGTTAAAACTGAGTTCTTGAGATTTCCAATAAAGTTGTGATATTTCTTTAAGCGTTTTGATGCCTGAAGACTTAATCATTTTCGGTGATATGGAAATTGGATATCTTGATCGGAAATGTCAGAGACAAGTAAGGATTTCTCAATCAGATGAAAATCCTCTGATCCGGAAGACTACATAAGTACCGGATGTCTCGCTACAACCCGCTGAAGGCTAAGTCATCCAAACCGGAAGACTAGCGCGGATCTTTTTCTCACCCGGAAGTCTAAGAATGACTTCTCCGGATTTGTCAGCTAAGAATCGGAAGACTCATTGAAGACCGGAATTCTCAGAAAGCGGACAAGTGAGAAAAGACTTAGAAAA